TGTTTTTCCCTGTCCCACTCTGCTCCTTTTGCAGGAGGTGCTTATAAAAACAAACAGCCTCTGCAGACTGAGGTGATAAGCAAGAAATCCTTTATCAGTGAGGCTTTTTTCAAGAGCCTGACAGCTGCCCTTGGATAGCAGAGCCACTTGTTCCCTGGATTTCAGCCAGGGAACAGCACAGGGAAGCTGGTTCAGTCTCTCCCTCTCTCTCTCTGAGATCCACAGACCATTCCTACTTTTCCCCTCGCTTCTCCAACAGAAAAGAAAGCAAACCCCGGGTTGTGGCTGCCAAGGCTTTGTGGGCAAGTCCAAGCAGGAAAAGGGGAGAGGAAGCAGCAGAAAAATAAACATTTCCTTGCATTTTGCTGGAGTGCTGGGCCCTGGCCCTGTGGTGCTGCAGGTGCTGCTCTTCCTTTCATTCCAAAAGCAGGGCTGAGGGGCTGGTGCTTTCTTACCTGGAGAGGGCTTGGGGTACATCCTGTGGAAAAACACCAGGAAGGTGTAGAAGGTGAAGGCCAAGCATCCAAAGATCATCCCACAGACCAGGAAACTGTAGCTGCCCCGATCATGGATAATCTGCAATGGGAAGGGAAATGGGAAAGGGAGCAGACATCAATCACCAGAGCACTCAGATACCTCAGGGAGGGGTGATAACTCGAGGGTCAGGCAGTGCTTCTTCCCCAGAACCAGGACTAAAGTTTTGACTTTAAAATTCCAGTCATTTTTTTTTGGCCTGTCTTGCCTACTCACCGAGCCCACCAGCAGCTGGAGCACCATCTCCCCAATCCCAGCTCCAGTCACCAACACGGTTGTGGCACAACCTGCAAGGAAACAGTGGAACAACCAGCAGGGTCAGCTTTAAACTGCTCTTCCAGGGATCTCCCCACACAAGAGTTACAAATACTCAATGTACGTCCCCACTTAACATTGAAAATGCCTCTGCTCACCTGCAGCAGAGCAGAAAGGGAAAAGTTTAAGCCAAAAAAACCCTAAATCTCCCTATCCCTTGTCTCTGTTGGCAGAGGTGATGTTGCTTCTTGCTGGAAAGATGCTCATTTTTCTGTCTCACTGCCCCTGAGACAGAGGTTGGCAGAGCCCTCCTGGGAGAGCCTGGCCAGACTCTGGGCTTTTCAGTTCACTGATAATCTGATGATGTTTTCAAAACTTATCTCCCCTGTAAAACCTCTAAAGCAGCACTTGTGTGAGCCTGAGATCCCTGAAGCTGCAGGAAAGCAGGAACCAGGCTGGATCCCTGCCTGGGGAAGTTATTAGCCAGCCAAGCAGGGGTTGTTACAGTCTGGGTTTGTCACTCCAAGCTTGAATAAACAATTCCAAAGCAGCTCTTGCTTCCAGGCCTCCTGGGCACCCCTGGGGAGGGAAGGAGCTGCTTGGGGTGATGGTATCTGAACAGCCAGAGGTGTTCCCAAATCCCTGCTCACCTTGGTACTGCAGGATGTCCTCGGTGTAGGCCAACATGCTGGGGAAGGTGCTGCTGAGGAACAGCCCCAGGGAGGCCGTGCCCACGAACAGGAAGACGACGCTGGAGGAGAAAATCAGCAGCAGGAGGAAGGTTAT